GCGTCTCTCCCTTCCCGCTATCCGAACTGTCATCTTACATCCTAATCTGTCTCTCTTGCCTGCCTCCCCCCATCTCCCCTGCCTATCTCCCTCCCCTCTATCCGAACTGCCATCTGTCTCTCTTGCCTGCCTCCCCCCATCTCCCCTGCCTATCTCCCTCCCCTCTATCCGAACTGCCATCTTACGTATTTGTTTGCTAAGTTTAGAACAAATGCATAAATCATTTTAGCAAAGGATTGCCTAGCATTGGGTACAACCGCCGCGAAGTGTTCATCTTTGAAATTGCTCTTATTGATTTATAAAGAACACTTCTTTATTTACGAAGAGCTTGTAATTTCATTGAGTATATAATTCGTTCAAATGGTCATATATTATTTGTAAATACTGGGCACTCGAACTCCGAAACTGCTTGCTGGACGGAGCCCCCGCATTTGTACTCGAGCAGACCCTTCGCTTGCTGGAGGCAGCCCCCTCATTGGTACTCGAGCAGACCCTTCACTTCTGATCTATCGCCAGAGTGGAGCCGAAGGCGCAACGGGAAGCGGAGTATGAAAAACAGTTGCGGAAAGCAGTGGAAAGGATAACCACTCAAAACTAGCCTTTGTACTTAGTAATGTTTGAATTACGGTTCAGTTACCTACTTGTTAGGTTTCGTGAAGTAATTGATACAAGAATAGGATAGGGAGAAAAAAAAAAAAAACAAGAGTAGATATCCCATGAACAAAGTCATAGCTTCGTCCTCAGTTTGATATGGAGTAGAAAAAGTGCCTCTGAAAATGAAAAGCTGTATTATGTGTTTGTAGCAGGATATGAGTCAGTGCAGAGCACCTGCCCTCAGAACCGCACGTGACAGTTTCCAGTCATGCAGCGTCTTGCGAGCATGCCACGCGTGAGATGCTGGTGGGATAATTGCCCGCACGTGTTCGGCAAGGCCGATCCGCTTCCCGTAAGGCCAGGATTTTGAGGCCATTTTTTCCGGGTACATGTCATTAAAAGCTTAAAACATGAGTAGAGTTGAGAGCTCCACCGCTAGCGTAGAAGGAAGAGTCGAGCCTAGACGTTTGTACTTGGTTGTCATGGCAATGGCAATGGATGCATTTCTTCGTACAGGCTTGCCTGAGCAGAAAGGTCTGGCCGCAGACTGTTTGCAGGCAGCAGATCCAAGATGTGGGGACACCTAAGGATCGTGTTGCTCCCGAAGTCGTATTACCAGGATTACCACGGATGCCATCCAATGTCTCCTCCTCTCCTCCCCTTCAAACTCTAATATTTCCAGCCCCCAGGCCATGGAATCCCTCTCTGTTATGATCCTACTCCTAATGTTTCCACCCCCCAAGACTTAGAAAATTTCGAGACTGGCTGAACTCAAAAGCGGAAGAGAGAGAAAGAGCCTCTGGGAGGGCAAGCTAGCGGAGTACTGTTTTGAGCCGAAACCAGGCAGTAAGGGATGCCGAATGTGGTTTCTAGCAGGCGCCCAGAGGCTATACTGGGCAAGTTAGTGGAGTAGTCCAGGCGCATGTCCAGACACAGTCGCACAGCTGTAGCTGGAAAACCCCAGGAAGCCCGGTGGTATCCGGGGGTCCTGTGTTGTGTAGAACTGTAGTCTGGGCCTATTATCAAAACGTTATCAGGACTGTTTCTTCACTTGGGGTCAAGCTCTCCCCTCATTCAGCTGAAGCCCCGGTACATGCTCATTTGTGAGAACTTTGTACAAGGGATGCTGGGCCCGGTTCCCAGGATGTGAAGCTCCCCACGAATATTTTTGAAAATAAATTGTTCTTTTTGATCGGAGCAAAGCTTTAAACCACTAGTACCTCCGAGCCTGTTTTTGCCGACCCTGAATTTCACTGCGCACCAAGTTTGCTGAGCCTGGGTACACTCCATTTTTTCGGGTACTCTCACGGAAAGAACAAACAACAAAAAAAGAAGAAAAGTTGCGCCCGTGAAATCAGAAAAGAAGCAAAAAAAAAAAAAGGAAACTAAGCTTTGGTCGCAATTGCAGTTGTATACAATCTTCGAAGTGGTAGTGTGTGTGTGCCCTCAGTGAGGGCATCTCAGCCCTGTGGCCAGGCTGTCAGATTCGAAAAAGAGAATAGAAGGAAAGAAAAAAGGGCACACGGATCTGGCCGTGAAAATGGCTGGATACATTCCCCTAAGTGCCAGTGTGATGACCGTTACAGTCCTCTGACAAAATACAGCATGAGCAGATCACGGATTTTTTTTATTTTTTTTTCGGGACAGATCACGGATTCCACCCTGCCTCGTTGGCAGGGGACTCATAAAAAACACACGACAAAAAAAGAAAAAGAAAACAGTAACATTGAGAATGTGACCGCCTTACCTGTGAGGTGCATTCTGTGGAGGAAGACTGTGATCACGGCCTCTTGGACTACCCTGCCCGTCATCATTGCAGTAGACAAAGCATTTTCTTTTTTTTCCTTTTTCTTTCACTCGCGGGCACTATAAAAATCTGATTTATGGGACAATGCCGCCCCTGTGTCCCATTCCCGATTTCTTTGGGAACTGGCAAAACCTCGTGATTCCCCAACACTGGAAAAAAAGGGGAAAAAAGAAGAAAGGAGAATAATTAAACAAGTTGAAACCAATGTCTTCTCCATCTCATTTTCTTCTCACTTCATCCTCTTCTTCAAACAACCAATCATTTAGAACAACAAACGAATGAATGAATGAACTGGAATCATGTCCAACTATTTCCCGTGGTATCCAGCACCCAGAGAGCCCTCCTTTCATCCTCAATCTCACTGCCCTCTGCTCGGTAGCATCTCTAGCTAAGGTGGCTCATCCATGTTCGTCATGGATGTTCAGAGAACATCTCAACTAAGGCTGTCCAATCTCATTCACCATAGCCACACTCTCGGATGAAGTCCAAGACCAGCCGATTCCCACACAGTGGCCTTTAGATTCAGCACCAATGAAGGCCTATCGTAGCCAAAGGTGACTCCCCCACGGCTGTCCCCTTGTCCTTCCTCTCCCTCAACCTCTACCCTCTTCATTCAGCCTTTGCCATAGCCTAGCTTGAGATCTTTTATCATCTGCTTCCATAGCCTATCTCCTACTGCGATTACCACTACTAGCCATGGACGTCTTCACCATTACCCTCTACCCCTCCATTCAACCGGAGCTGCGGTTGACTTCACCCTCTGAGCAGGGCAGCAGCATGGTAATGTGCCGCTCGGGTACCTGGGCAAGTGGAAAAGGGTGGTCTTCTGTGCATTCCGAGCCTGAATCGTGGCTCTTTTCTGTTTTCGAGTGTTAGCTGTGAAGGGTGCATGGGTCCTGGAGACCATCTCACGCAAGTGTGTACATGCCATGCATCGTTCTCCCACACACAACGAACAGTAGTCTGATAATAGGTAGAGAAGATGAGAACCGAGTTTCACAGC